CTTTATCATGACCCATCGAGCAACGACCTGCACACACGTGGATGAATTTTGGACAAGAGATAAACGTCACAGTGGACATGGAGTGGATGTGTACTCGAAGATTGCCCACAAGGATCATCCAGTGACGTTGTCAGTTGCTCATCAAACTTTCCGTGTTAATCAATGATGAATCACTGGGTTGCGACTCGGGTCTCAGAAAAGACCGCAGCACGACCGGGGAAGGTGACGTGGACCGTGGTTTGGATACACCCCCCACGTACGCAGGTAGCATCGAGTACGTGTACTACGGCAAGTGCACAGGGTACGTGTACCTCAAGGACGACGCCTTACGCCCGGAGGCCGCATGCACGGAAGTCTGCATACGTATGCAGTCAGGCCTCGTGACGGCCTCCCAGGTTAGTCGACGTTGGGACTCTGGGTATAAAGTCTACTGATGGACAACATGACTTTGTATGCGGAGCCGCAGGATGGCGACGATCTTAAAGTGACAACATGATCTTCAGTGAAAATCCATCAGAGAAGGAAGCAGCCGATGAACGAGCTCAAGCCACTGCCAAAGAGGAGAGGGGAAACGTCATGAACGACGACTCCTTGTCGCTGATCACAGACAATGTGCCACTTGTGGAGATTGAGTTTCAGTCTTGGATTACGCAAGCATGAAGCAGCCTTCCATTTCAAGCTAAGAGGTATCCCAATACTACATCCGTAACAAACTCCATCCTAAATGGTCATGATATCGTGTCCCGTACCCAAGCACCGTTAACACCCATTTATAATGCCATCACAATCCTGCCTTTACAACCAAGACACTAGCCCCCAGTTTCCCTTCCCAAACCCTCTCAGCAAGCACACCTAGCGTACCCGCCGCACTCGAACTACTCCTTATTTCATCCACAGTGTTCTCCCTCTCCAGCACACTGTTCCTCGCTACATTCCTACCCAGCACGATGAGATCACCTGCGTTCCTCGGCGACTGACCAACCTCGATACTCGCTCGGGCGATAACATCAGCGACTGGTGCAGTGGACGGCACAGTCTCGAAGATAACACGGTTCGCTAGGTCGACAGGAAGCGAGGCGCGCAGCGAAGCGAAGAAGGCTGCGTCTTGGTCGCGGGACGTGGTTGTGGTCGTTGTCGTTACGGCTTCTCCATCCTTTCCTAGCACCGTTGAAGAGATTGGCGAAGATGCAGAAGCACCAATGATGGACTCTGGAACATCGAAATACACAACTGTAGCAGTAACCTGCGGATTCTCTGCCAATTGCAGAACCAGTCTCAACGCTGTCTTGTCATCGTTGCCGCCAAAGAAGGGGAAGAAGATGTGGTGGCTTCGATCCGCAATGGGTGCTGTGACTGCCTTGTCCCTAGCGCTCGACAGACTGACACTACTGTATGTTCTGGTAAGCTTCAATCGCTGCTTCTGCTCCTTGTTCTTGCTGCCTCCAAAGTTCTTGTTGATGAGTACTGCAACAGGTATGCTGGCCTGTTCGAGCGTCTCATGCACAAACGAGTTGTAACCTGATGCGGCGAGCTTGTTCTTCGTTCCCTTGTCTTCGATGATGGCTTGTTCGGACATACCGCCTGTTTCACTCCAGGGAAGAACAAGGAAGTTGGAGTCTGAAGCACGTGTGGCGAGGGTTTCGGCGAAAGAGGATTCCGGCACGACGAGTACTTCACCGCTGACGGCTAGGTTGTGGAGACGACCGAAAGTGCGGAAGGTGTTTACAACAGGGTCGTAGGCTGTGTATGATTCTATTTCCGAGACCTGCATGACGGAGGAACCACGGTCGGTAAGATTGAGTAGACGGAGACCGTAGGCTTCTACTGGTCTTGATGGTGCGGTTTCGACTAGTGATGTCTCGCCTGTCTCTTTGCCGGTACTGCTGATGTCTTTGGAAGGGTGTGTCTTGGCCGCTGGCTTGTCTGCATTTCCACCAAAGAGGGAGGTGAAGGCTAGGAGGTTGGGCATACTGTCCAGACGGAGGTAGACGGTCATCCGCTGGATCTTCTCAGCAGCCATCTTCTCGTAGTTCACACCGTCGACACCATCTTCGGAACCATCAAGAGGCTTGCCAGTGTCCCAATCAATCTCGCCGCGACGCCACGCCTCGACCTTCTTCTGGTACCATGGGGGGTAGAAGTACATGGTCAAGGGAGACGACGCAAAGGTAGTGACAAGGGCCATGACAACGAAGATGGTGAAGGTTCGAGTGCTGAGAATCTTGGCATTCAACCCGATGTTCTGTGACTGTTAATGCTGGCTCCATGCTTCGAAGAGAGTGTTTGCTTACCAAGACGATCAGCTCTACCAATCCCTTACAACTCATCAATGATCCTACAGCGAAACATTCTCGCCAAAGCATCTTGCTTCCACGAGCCGCAAGTGTAGCACTGAGGAACTTGGAGAAAAACGCTACAGCGCAGACGCCAATAACGTAGGCCCAAACAATGCCAGAATCCAGGAGGCCAATGTTAGTGTTCAGTCCTGAGAGGGTAAAGTAGAGCGGCAGGAAGAGTGCGCCGATTAGATCCTCAATCTTCTCAGCAACTTTGATGGCAAAACCACCTTCGTGCGGACAGATCAATCCAGCCATGAACGCACCGAAGATAGGATGGACACCAATGATACCGGTGAAGAAAGCGGATCCCAGAGCGATGAGCAGAGTGAGACTAATGATGCCCTGGCTGGGACCGTCTTGAAGTGCGCGCTGACGACGCAGGATGTAGACGAATGCTGGTCGAACGGCGTACACAAGGAACAGCATGTACCCAAAACATGTGAGGAGCACCCACAGTGCTGACAGACCCGAGCCAGCGTTGACAAGGGCTACGCAAAGAGCGAGTAGAATCCATCCTGTACACGTTAGTCTGGGAGTTATCGGGATTTCTATCATGTGCAACTCACCAACAACGTCGTTGCCAACACCAGCTGAGAGAACAATAACACCAACTGGAGTCATGAGCAGCTTGAGTTCCGTCAAGATACGGCAAAGCACAGGGAAGGCCTATCAAGTTAGCGAATGCAGCCTCGTCTTATCTTCGAATACTCACAGTAATCGCCATAGCCACACCGATGAACAACATGAAGATGGCAAAGTCAATCTGGACCGTATCCGGCTCATCCTTGAACTCATTGTAAAGTCCCACGGCAATAGCGCATCCAAGTCCAAACGGAATAGCCATACTCGCCAAGCCAACATTGAGCGCTGGTCTCCAGTTGCTTAGTAAAAACCGTAGGTCTACTTCCAGTCCAATAATGAACAGAAACAATGTGAGACCGAGATTGGCAACCAGGTTCAAGTTGGTCATGGACTCGGTTGGGAAGATGGAGGTTTGGAAGCCGGGGATCCGGCCCATAACAGAGGGACCTAGAATGATACCGCCGATGATTTCGGATATCACACGAGGTTGACGGATCTTCGAGAGGGGCCAGTTGAGTGCGCGGCAGAAGATGATAATAATGCCCGCCTATTATGTACATCATGGTTAGTTAGTTTTTCTCTTTTTTTCGTGACTTCAGAAGGAAACGAAAACTAGATTCGACGTGTATTGTACTCTTTCGCACGCAGAACCAGCGCTATGGAACTGGAGTTGCGCAGAGAGCAGATGTTGGCAGCACTAGATCGGTGAAGCGTCCCACAGGCTAAGCTTCTGAAGCGATGCACAACATAGTAAACCATAACATACCTGAACAATGAACAGAATAATCGGATGATTCTTGTCGAAATGCACTGGATTGACGCCCTCGAGGATACCGGCTTGCGGCGGGGCCTTGATGGGCGCCGTGGGCGCCGCACTCGCCGACGCTGCTACAGACGACATGGCGAACGCGTGGGTCTGTGGTAATACTAAGGGTAGAGAAGAAGGTCGGGTCCCCCACAAAAGCTTCCCCAGAGTACGAACGTGCAAACGTGAAAAGAAAGCGAACCCCAGGCTGCTCTTAACCGTGGTAGAAACAAACATGCGCAAGGGTCCCAGCGCCATCCTAACGCCCCGAATCCTAGGTCGCAAAGGGTAGCGAGCGTCAGCCCAGGGTCTAGGCGTGTCTTCGCATCGTCTCTTGGTTTCGACGTTGTTCGCGCGGTGGGCGGGCATGCAGGCAACGGGCGGCGGAAGCTAGCAAGAATGCACTTGGGAAATGCGCCGCTGTGATTGCGTGCTGGGCTGTGGAAGCTGCCATGTGATTGCCAAAGTGGCCCTCGTGCAGTCGTCGTACGGACGCTGCTGCATGGCACGCATGGCTTCACCGCTCACCTGGTCGTCTACATTGGTGAAAGCAAGTGTGGCGCGGTGCTCGTGGGCTTGGTTCCGCTTGTTCGCCAAGTGGGAGTCGTAAGCCAACCCAATAGGGATCAGGCGATAGCTGATCGGCAGGGTATCGCGCTGCAAGCCAGCTGCGATGCTCAGAGCAAGAAACTGCCACACCAAGATCCTGCGCCAAGGTGAACAGCCGGTCCTTTTGGTGGTTTCTGGTGGAGTTGAGGTGCTCAGATGACATGAGCTGAGGGAATTTGATGATGAGGATCCGCTGGTCCACACCGGATTGCGGAGGCGGGAGTCACCAGGCCCTTGTGTCACCATGACCTTGTTGGTGGCATTATCGCGCATGGACAGGAAGCTTCTAGGAAGCTGCAAAGCGTATGCGAAGCGAACGAGCAAGCATGTGCTGGACTAATCTCGTCACATTGATGCCATCTGGAGACTGATAACAACTTCCACAGCTTTCACTTTTGCAACAAGTACCGCGTCTACATGCAAGAGGATGTGGGCGGTCGTATTCTTTATTCTACGAGTCTTAGCTACTCTGCTAGCCCTGGCGTTCAATACCAAGAGGCTCGTCTCTTCTTAGTTGCACCTCCACTTTACGTCATATGAATTCGCAGGGTTCTGGCTTAGATTGCAAGTATGTGTTCAGCACAAAACTGATACTGATAGATTCAACATTGCTATCAGGTGTTACATATGTACAATTCAGAAGATACGCGTTCCCTTGTAACCGTCTAGCATCCAATCCTGCTGCTACTAACAACGATATCATCGTACCACATAGTGTTAGTATCACCGCCATAGCTTTCCCATCCAAAGTAGGCTCCCGTAATCTTCGGCTTAACACTGCTCCTCGTCCACTGCCCCGCATTCGCATTGGTCGCTCCATTGCCCACAGTCAAAGCCGGTACCGTTACGTTGTTCAACCACGTCGCCACACTTCCGTCAGTACCCAAATGGTACTCAAAGCACGTCCAAGCATTCGTTGGCAGCGCCTTGGACGTCGCGATACCCTGTGGGGACAGATCCGGCAAAGTAGCGTCGTCGGTTTCGCGGTTGTACATGAGGATCTTGGATTGTCCTCCGATGCGGAGGTGTTTGTTTGTGCCTTGAGCCGAGTCGGGCATGGTGATGAAGGTTACGTGGGAGTCGGTCAGAGCTTTTGCGGCTTTGCTGTAGGGTGTTAGTAGGAGGTCTTGATGACTTCTCTTGTTCAATGGAAACAATGCGTCGGATGAGGAGGGAGAAGGACGAGGTGAGTACATACACATATGTTCGCACGTAAACATCGCCAGAAGGAATCTTCGTTGTGCCAACGAAGATGTGGCCGCAGAATCCACCTGCTCCGTCGACACGAATACTGTTCTTGCCCGTGTGAGCTGTCGAGCTATCCAGGGTGACTTTGCCTCCTTGATTGCAGTCTGTTGCGTATACAGGCCATGCGGTTTGATCCCAGCCATTCTCGAAGCCTTCAGTAACTTGGGCGATGGTAGGTGCCGCAAGGGCCAAGGCGAAGAGAGCTGTTTGACGAAGCATCGTTGTCGTTGTTCTGGTGCAGAGTGAATTGATGGTATGCCAGACAGGGACAAACTGCTATGCCTTTATACCCTCATCTCCATCATTCTCGCAGCCCAAGCTTTTCCTTCCGTAGCATAACTGGCATAGTGGCATGCTTGTTCCGTGCTTGTTTCCAGAATATATGAAAATGGCGTTCTAGTGGTTAAAATGTCGGTAAATCGTGCATCTTACCCCAGGTTATTCTTCGGCTTCCATATGCGTGTGCCATTTAGATTAACTTTGAAATTTAGCGCGGTACATGTTAATATTGCCAACGTCACCTGAGAGCATGTTCCTCGCCGCCCTTTCCCACAGGGTTTGATTGTGCGTATGGAAAGGTAGATTGCGCCGGACCTGGACTTGGGGTGGTGGAGATGATGAGCAATGGCACATCAAAAACCTCCTCACAGTAAACATCATCACTTCATGCTCAAGGTTTCAATCCTCTTCCATTTCAATAGCTCGTGAGCTTGACTCTATAAAAAGACATTTGTGTAAAAGCAAACGCGCAAAGCAACTCGGCCAGCGCTGGGAATCGAACACGCCGTGAAAGCGCCTCCACAAAACAAAACAGAAAGACCAATTTTCCTAGACCAAGGGAAGAAATGACAGACAAGCGAGACGCGGCTAGAGGGGTATGCATATCCACCAAGAGAGGCAGGCGTATTACATATGAGTACGGGACCAGCCTTTCAAAAAAGACTAAAAGGGAGAATGAGACGGTGGATGTGGTGGTGTTGATGTGAGACGGCGGCTGTGGTGCCATGTCCCACAGCAATCGATATTCTCACGTGCCCTGAGACGTGAGATGTAGTGAGTACCGAGTCGGGGACGCGACATGTTAATGCAGCACGAATCCTCCTCGCAGCTACTTCCTGTCAGCCTCTTACGCAACAGTATTCGCAGCCGCCTTGTTAACCTGTGTGACAACCACAGCAATGACGACCACAATAATGATGATAAGCAGGATAACGAGGAGGCACCACCACTTCTTGCGGTTACGGCTACGCGCCTTGACGATAGCACCATCGATTTCGACGTTGGCAGCCTGGACGTTGTCGTGGATTTCCTCGCCCTTTTGCTCAATGTTGGCAACGAGCGGTTCTTGCTCCTGGACGATCTGGTCAAGGTCTTGGAACAGTTGGGCGAGTTCGACCATTTGACGTTCTATGTTCTGGATGGCCTCGTGGCGCTCTTTTACATTGCGGAGGGTAGATGAGGCTTGGCCGCGGCGGTCTGAGTTAAGGAGCTAGAAAAAGATTAGTATGTGACATACTCAACAGTTGAAGGTTTCTTACAGCCTGCTGGAAGATGGGCGCATCGGGGTCCGCTACTGCGTCTCGGACCTCTTGTTCGGTTGCGTCTGGGCGCACAATGCGGTACTGGCGCTCGGCAGCAGCTTGCGAATCCCTTCGGAAATCCGACTCGAGCGACTGGTACTTGTTGATAGTCGCCTTGAGTCTGCGGTCGACCTTGCCGACTTGTGGGGCATTTCTTGGGTGGCCGGAGTCGGGCTTCGACTTAATTGCTTTTACGCGTGTCACGAGGCCACGGTACCCCGTCATGATCTGGGAGCTGAGGTTGTTGATTTCGCCCGAGGGCATGTCTGGCCGCGCCAGCGACTGCTTGAACACTCGGTCGAGGTTGCTGAGTTGGGCATCGAGGTCGTCGAGGGCGCGGTCGACTTCGCGGCATTCGTCGAGGATGGCATTGGGGTTCGCGCTTGCGCCACCACCGTAGGATTGCATCTCTACATCGCCTGTATTGTGTTAGACACGTGTCGAGGGTGCAGCGCATCGAACAACGTACCATAGCCGCCGCCCTGGTTGTAGTTGTTGTAGCCAGCCGGGCTCGGGTCGCGGGAATCGTAGGGGTTACCGCCATATGATCCTATCTGGCCGTAGCCTTTGTTTCCAAACTGTTCGTCGGCAGCAGCCATGGTCAGCAAGTGTAAATGTCGAGAGTAGTCGGGTTTGTGTTGTAGAGGTGTTGTGTCAATTGAGTAGTCTGACGGAGAAGGGACTTACGCTCATTCTGAAACAGACCCCGTGTGGTATGAGTGGATGTGAAGACTCCTGAGACAACCGACTGCAAACGCGTAAAGCACACTAGAGTAGCGGTTGGCTCGTGACTAGGGCAGAGGTGAATTGATGTCAAACGCGCTTGAGCTCGAATCAATGCTGGAGAAAGGCTGTCGAGGGAAGATAAATGTGTTTCAGCTTGGAGAGTGTTTCCTGGGGCTGAGTGTGAGAGTGGAGCGCGCAGATGCAGGAGGCGCTTGCACTAGGCCCACTCGGGATGGTAAGCAGCGGCGCGTCGTTGGCCCGCAGCGGCGAAGGTGCCCTAAGATCACTCTAATTTTGGCACCGTGCAGATACTTTGGCGTCTGGAAGGAACATCTTGGTAAATCATCTACTGACGCCGCTGCTTTCGCCTCCCATCTCGTAAAGAGACCCCGAACCCGCGAATCAAAACGCTGACCGGCTGCTTACCCAGCCTCGCGGTCTTTGCAAGAAACGTCTGCGCTAGACTCAGCCTTGCAGACCGCATCACAGCTTATGAACGCCTCCGCTTGTTGGTCGCGTCTCCGTCTTCAGAGCGTACTACTGAATGCAAAGCGCACTACTTGGTGGCTGGCTGTCCTGCACTACCCCACCGCGTCTTCTCATCACCGCCAGCCCACGACTTCTCTTGGTAGCCTAACCGCTGCTTGACTTCGTCTACTGTTGCCTTGTCTCCGGTATTCTTGCCGATGTTGTCGCTGATCTTGACGGCGTGACGCCCCGCAGCGGAAGCGATCTTGATGACAATGTTGAGGGGTACAGACTTGTTACCGGTAGACTTCTCCACAAAATCATCTGTCATTGTCAGCTGTGTTCCGGTCACACATGCGCCACAGTACTCACTTGTCAGGAACGTTCCAACACCGAAGGTAGGCTGGAAACCCGCCGCTTCTGCTGCAGCCTTGTACTTGAAGCAGAGTTCCAGGTTCAAAGAGTCGGAGAATACAATCGTCTTCTTATCCTTGATGCCTTGTTCGTCGTAGAAGTCGCGCATCATCTTGATGAAATCTAATGGGTCCCCAGAATCCTGTCGTACGCCTGCAAACACGTCGGCATAAGTCTGTTGCGATCCCGCATTTCCGTCGTATGGTGCCTGGATAGGTGGCTTGGTTGAGGACATTGTCTCTACAGCATCGTTGTTGGTGGTATCTCCAGCTGAAGCCAGTGTTGTGCCGCCTCCTGGGATAGCGGTAGTAACACGCGGAATCTGCTTCTTGAAAGCCCTGAGGAAGGTAGGTGTGCCGAACGTGTCTGTAAGTGCAATGCTCAGGACGCCTGCGCCAAATGTCGCTGTCCAGTATTCCAGGGCAATTTCGTTTGCGCTCTCGTAGTTGTTCGTAATGGCAGCCACGCCCATGAACCACTCGTGCGCAACAGTGCCCACAGGGACAAGGCCATGTTTCATGGCGAAGTGGACGTTACTTGTCCCCGAGAGCTTTCCTTTCCAACCTGCCTTGCTACCCTCATCAGCCGCCCTGCGCAAGCCCTGCAGCACTAGATCTTGGGTGTGGTAGTCGCGACGTCTCCGCGAGCCAAATTCGGAAAAGATGCAGCCTCCTTCCAGCAGACCCCGCCCCTTTTGGTATGCCTTCTCGACTTGGCCCTCATGGCTCCAGTCTGTCTCGACAAACTTGAAGTATGCCTCGCTGACAAGCGCCAGTAATGGAATCTCGTAGAGGATCGTGTCTAGCCAGAGGCCCTCGGTATGGATGTGGAAATCGCCAACATCGCTATCTGACCCAGTGTCATTCGCGCATTGGAAAGACAGCTTGAGCTGCTGGGAAGGCTTCAGGCGGAAGGTGGAGAGGAAATGGAGATATTGCGCGTTTAGGTAGGGGCAAGTATTCTTGAGGAAGTTGAGTTCTTCCTCAGACACGGCTACGTTCTCGAGCTCTAACAGGGTTAGCAGCTATTGTGTGTGTGTGTGTGTGTGTGTGTGGATAGAAAGCGAGCATACTATCTACTTGGGCTTGCAACCACTTGAAGGCTGTGCGATTGAGCTTCTTATCGGGTGTGCGATTGGTGAAGCCGTAGGTGACTGAGACATCGGGGAAGAACTTCAGTATGCAACATTGCATAGTCAGCTTGTAGAGATCGGTATCTAAAAGAGAAAAGATACCCTCGGGCAGGTCTTGTGCTTGGTTCGCCATGATTGCGTGTTGGTTGCTGCGCGTTGGAAATTCAGCTTCAGGGCTGCACTTGCGATCGCGGTTGATAGAGGGGTGGTGGGGCAGGCGCGAAGGTTATAAAGGCGCGTAGTGTGGGTCGCGCGTAACCGTGGATGAGATATCGAGGCTCTGTGTACTGGCAAGGTAGCAAGAGAATTACCAATGCCTCATGACAAAGTATATTCACCCAGACACGACTTGTTCCGAACCCGGAACCAGTGACGGCATGCGGCGCGTGAAGTCATTGATGGTTAGCGCCAAATCCCTTCAGCCCTACAGCTTGACCCTGTAAGCGCATGAAGCCTGGACTCGTTCCGCTCTATATCAGCCTCCAGGGTCCACGCCGCCCTCGCTCCTTACCCTCGACAGCCACAAGAGATGCTCGTAGCCGTCTCTATACTTGCCCTGTCACTGTCATTCCTGGTCTACCAGCGCCCGCCCTCGACATGGCTCGCCTTCCTTACTCGCCTCACACAGTCTGCCGCGCCCTCGATACCTGAGAAGTCGCAGCATGGCGAGACAGACGACAACACCCCGGCTGCACACCAACGCATAGAGCTGCACACCCCGACGACACAGGACGACGTCGAGACTACCCCAAAAGCTGCTCCCGCATCCGACCAAGATGCGCCCGCTGTACCCACCTTCACGCTCAACGAGCATGAGAGCTCCGACGAAGACGAAGAAGACAACCTGCCACCACCTTCCTTCCCGGCCATGAACTCGGCACAGAGAGCCTCGAAGCCCC